ATTTGGGACAAAAGTAAAATTTGACTCCGGACTGGATTCAGCACGGGAAAACATCGTCGGGGGTTCAGTTCAGTATCATTTTTCTGATTTGAGCGCATACGCCATGAAACAGTCTAAAAAAATAATCTAAACTGTTTGTTTTTTAAAATTTACTATTGGAATTCTGCCGTAAAAACAGTTGTTTCCTTTTAATTTTAACAGCAACTGAAAGTCTGTAAAAAAGACTAAAAAGGGGGGTATGGGCGAGGAAGACTGTTTTTTCTTTGTTACAAGAACATATACTAGGAACCGTAGACGTTAATTAAACATGGCAGCCACAAATGATATTTTGCTAATCGTTATTCATCATTGCAGAAAGTATGAAAATCACATTACTGTCATCAGTTCAGGTCTTAGGATATCGTTCCTTAATTTTATATCTGCATGGTATGCATTGTTTTCAATGTAGGCATATGAAAGTGGTATCAGTAAATTCTATGCCATCCATATGACCGGTTATCTGTTTGGTCAGAAGTGGTATAGATATCAAAAGGTTATAAAGGGCTTGGCCCTTTAAGCTTAAGAGTTCTGCAAAAACTTTGTCCAGAAAGCCCTCTCCTCGTCACTCGCCCTGGTGTCTATAGCTTTGCGAGAGCAAACCCGTTTGTGGAAAAAAACTAAAAGGCAAACACAGGCAAGAGCTTTCGAGACTATTATATCATCTATCTTATTCTGTTTTATCCTTTCAATACAAAGTTGATTTTTTTACAAAACCATCCTGTTGCTTGCAATTCACGGCTTATTCTTGGAACCATCGCTGTGTCAGAATCTGTCAGGCTCACTGAAAAGTGACATGATATTAAACCGCACAACGACTACTCCTTTAAGATCCTTTAACTCCGGGTAAACGAATTAGTTCCTTTTCATGAATTAAACTCCCGCCTCCTCGCTTACATGCTTATACCTTTCCCCTAGTTTTCCTCTGAACAAAACTATAAAATTAAACACAGTACGTCAAATCAAATTAACACGCGATTTTCGGAATACACAGATGAATACAATTTCTTTTTACTTTTAAGCTTAATTATTTTTTTTCTTTTATTTGTGACGCTAGTATAGAGATTAAATGTGACGAAAACTTACAATGTAAGTCCATTCAACTAACCTAGAATTCCAGATCCAGATTCTTAGTTTTTCGTCTTGATACGTCATGGGACACTTTTGAGCCAATGAATGCGAAGACAATTGTTAGAGACATCGACAGGCACTCCCACATATTAAAAGTTAGATCATAATTACATCGACGTCGGTGTGGAAGTTACAAAGTGTCTTGCTGTCTCTATCCCTTTCAACGGTAAATTTTTTACTTTTTTTTAGTTTGGGGCAAACCTGAAAACATCAGCCGAGTTGATTTTCTCAGCAAGCATCCCATCATACAACTTTATCAAGCTACATTGCTTGGCTTCTTGCTGGTGTTCTCTGTAAAGTAGATTTTCCGCATTGCATTGCAATGCATGCGTTGCTTGTCAAGGTAAGAATCGAAGTTAATTCATTTCTTTTTCATGTGAAATCTAAGCATACTGTGTCTTCTTATTGTGTGCAAGTGTCATATCAGGTCCCCTGAGGTTAAACTTTAACATACGTCGCCACTTTTTCACATGTACGCTTATTTGCATCGCATACTTGAATAACGTTAGCTCAAAAGTGCCTATTGTGTTGTGCATCTTTCCTTAAGGCGCTCTGAAAAGTATTGGGGCAGGAAACAACGATATAGTAGTCAAAGAAGGGAAATTTAGTGACTCCTTGATTCGGTAATCAATTACATGGTTTTGGTTACTCGTGCAAAAGTTGACAAACGTTGGTAGTGAGAGATGGCGTGAGGGAATGATCGAATAAAGGACGTGCGTGGGAGGAAGGAAGAGTCCACAGAAAAGAATCAAGCAACTGGCTTGACCAATGGCAGAGCGACAAATTGCAAATTAAAATTCATTCTGACTCCTGATCTGTGAACCAAAACTTCCTTAAAAATTAAATTTACAAGCATACTTGTGGATGGTTAATGCTCCTACCGAAGCCAGCTTTTTTTTAAACTTGTAGCCACTGACTGACTATTTTTCTTGTGGTCATGACAACTGTGTTACTTATCATAGTTGCTTTGGAATTTTCTTTTACTTATAAATATTTAAACTTAAATTTAATTCTCCAGTTTGTGTTAAGCCATTTCAACTTACTGTCATGCAAGCAATAAAGAGACGAAGAGATGTGACTGAAGACTCAGATAAAGAAGGTAATTTCTATGGTTAGAAAAAGAGCCCTCCTATACGTAAAGCTAAAAGTGAAAATGTGATCACTTACTGTACAATGTAAGGCTATTGCAACCTTGGTCATAATTGCTGGGACGTTGGACACAAGTGAAAACATTTGGCTGAACCCATCCCTCGTCACAAAGTTGGGAAGAACTCACTCATTTTTAATTAAGCAAGTGAGTGATTAGTCCTTTTAAAAAAAACTTTTGCATGTGGATGAACCTTAAGAGAACCTTTTGTTAGGGGCTATTTACATGGAGGCAGAAAGATTTTAGAACCAGGCAGATCTTAGAAGGGGGAACAACTCATCATTCGGTAAATACATGCAAGGTTGTGGTCAGGTTAACTGTTAACTGCCTTTTAACAGAGGTTTTTTCGGCTAAATCTGGCAGTTTGTTTTTACTCATTCTACTTTGAGGCTGGAAAACATGAAGCCCATCCTCCTCCAATGTGTAGTTATCTTTCACTACATTCAAAAGAATTGATACCGTTGTGTTAGTACTTGCTGCTTTCCAGTGTACATGTATCTCTAAAGTGGGCCACATATATTTTTGAAAACAAACCTGTCCCAAATATTACACTGTCAATCAGAAACAACCAAAATAATCCTTTAATGATGACAGACAAAAAGCTGTCCACCTTTAGAAGACCAGCACTTTCAGTTAGCACAGAAATATTCAAAAATTCAAATATTCATGCCACAAATTCCACCTCTGATGATTCAAAAAGGCATCGGTTTTGCCAATTTGTACAATGAAGGCCAAGTTTTAGCAGAAACTTTAGGATTTTAACATTTAAATTTTATGTACTGTTTTAAAAACAAGCAGGAGTGTATTATCAGGTTTGAAAACTCGAAGCGAAGCTGATAGTTTTTGAACCTGATGATACATGACTGTATGTGTTTTAAACAGCTTCAAAATCTTTCATATAGATCAACTCATTCTTAACTTGCACTAATATTTAGATTTGGGGTTTTTTTGGTTGCAAACAAATTGAACATAAAGTTTAGCTATGTCTTTATCAGTTATATAAATTATCATTAAACATTAATTTCTTTTGTAATTTTATGAATTATTAATAAGTTTTTTAAAAATATATTTATCAGTCAGTAAGTGTATGGACACAGCAAAAGAAGAAATTCAATCAGTAACCAGTGATTTTGTTACCTCTGCATTCTGCGTCCCGATGCATAAAAATCCTCAAAGACACAAAATAATTTATGGCATATGTCCTACACAAAGAACGATCTATCAATTTGAAGCTTTTGTCTCAGTCATGCGCATACCCCTACTCAAATTTTCCAAAATACCCTTGGCATTTTTAGTTGGCATAAGCCAACCTCTTTCCAATCTTCACAGTGTCCGTAATCGATTTGTGACAATGCATCTGTAGGCAGTTGTTCAACCCTGTGTCATAGTGCTTCTTAGCTAGTTGTTGAGTCATCTGAGGGCAGAAAATGTGGGCTCTGAAGTCGCCAGTGTCACAGGAAATGTCAAATACATCTGTAAAAGTGTTTTTTGGCACCAAAGTGTGAGCCCCCCTGCCCCATCTGCTCCATCCCCTATGAGTTTTAAATTGGGTAAATGTTGCCAAAATGTCTATTCTAGCTGCAGAGTGATTTATCCAAACAACATTCCACATTTAAAAGGCAGGTAAAATTTAAAATCTTTTTTTATCTTACCGTGGACATACTTAGTCACGTACTAGGCAACGAAAAAGTTCACACGTATCATGTTCCATTGCAGAAAAAAGCAGCCGAATTTTACGAGAGATTACCTCAAACTTTAAAGAACGTGCTAAATTTCGTAGTAGAGAAAGCCATTGTTTCTCTAAAGTTTTCAAGGATCACGAATGCAATTGAATGCAAAAGATTATAGTCATGTGCTACAGTTGATCTTTATCAAGCCAGGCCAGATAAGCCCAAAATCATTTGGCGTTACAAAATAAACATGCTGTTGATTGTTCACGAGTATACACTGTTTGTTTGCATTTGGAGCAGGCATTTGAAACTTTACTTGAGGAAATGAAGGTTGATACAGATGTCCTTGAAGAAATATTCCCTTCATATAACTTGAATTTCTATTTCTATTTCTATTTCTATACCTATACTTGGCCAAGGGGTGCCCATCGCACCAAGGTAAATAATAAAATAAATTAATTAATTAAGTTATTAAATAAATAGAATTATGTAATGAAATAAATAAAATACGTTCCCAAACAGTGCGTTTAAAAATGTCCAAAGTCTCTATCTTCCTAATATTTAATGCTAGAGCATTCCGATCTTTTATGGTTCTGGGGAAGAAACTGTCCACGTAGATGTTACCCTTGGAGCGTGGATTTAAAAAAGATGATTGAGACCTAGTGTTATAAGTATGGGTTGGTACATTTAAGTGTGAATTGGTCTTGTTTTGAGCATACAATCGCTTGCACAAATATAACCATGCTGTGTTGTGTTACAGCTGTATGTCTTTGTAAAATTATCGAGAAATCAGTCATGGTTGAATCTTTTGTTTTCTGTCCTGCGAGACACGATCCTCGACTCGATTCTGGATAGCTTGTTCTCAATTCTTGATTTGTGCAGGAATCAAAAATTGCGAGTCAAGTCAAGAATCGAGACTCGCCACGGACTGTCAACTTACTTTTGAATGGTACTGTATAAGTAATTCTCTTTGTTTACTGTTCATTAAAGATGTAGGACAACTTTGATGTTTGGCTATGGCATCTTCTTTATGGGAACCCCAGTCATGGGATTGCAGAGGAGATGATTCCCGCAAAGTGCAAGTCACTATTTTGGCTTCTGAATGGGGATCAAGCAAAGGGGGACTTTCCACCATAAACAGAGAGTTAGCCATTCAGTTGGCCAAATTCCAAGAAGTGGAAATCACTTTCTTTTTACCTCAATGCAGTCAAGAGGAAAAGAAGGTAGCCATGAAGAATAACATAAAGATCGTTGAGGCAACACCATTGCCTGGCTTTGATCAACTTAACTGGCTTTGCTTTCCACCTGAAGATTTGCAAATGGACATTATCATAGGTCATGGAGTTAAACTCGGTAAACAGGCACAAATCATTAAAAGATCTAAAAGGTGCAAATGGGTTCAAGTGGTGCACACAGATCCAGAGGAACTTGGAATGTTCAAGAACTATTCAGATCCAATTTCAAAAGGCGAGGAAAAGCACAAGACGGAAGTAAAACTGTGTGAAATGGCGGATCATGTTGTTGCGGTTGGTCCCAAGTTGAGCGAGGCCTTTCGCTCCTATCTTCGCAGCTGCCAAAAAGATGACAATGTTGTTGACTTCACTCCGGGAGTATTCGTAGAATTTGCGACTGTGAAGCAGGCTCCTAGCGAAAGGCAACAACGCAGTGTCTTGGTGTTTGGTCGTGGAGACGTAGAGGATTTCAAATTGAAAGGATTTGACATCGCTGGGAAAGCGGTTGCTGAGTTAGAAGATACTCGTCTTGTCTTTGTTGGAGCTCCAGAAGGAAAACACGAAGAAATAGCAAAACAGTTGACTGAATGTGGTGTCCCTGCAAGTCGCTTGAGAATAAGAGGATTTGTTCAAGATCGAGAGAGTCTACAGCGCTTGTTTCAAGAAGTAGATCTTGTTGTCATGCCTTCAAGAACAGAGGGCTTTGGGTTGACAGGACTGGAGGCCTTGTCAGCTGGTCTCCCTGTGCTCGTCAGCCGCAACTCCGGTTTTGGAAAAGCTTTACACAGTATACCTTTTGGATCAACATATGTAGTGAACTCAGAGGAACCGGCAGATTGGACCTCTGCTATCAAAACAATCTTGGTCAAGGACAGAAGAAGTCGGCTTGAGGAAGCAGAAACCTTGCGCGAATTCTATGGCAAGAAATACAACTGGGCCAAACAGATAAAAGATCTCATTGACACGATGATCATTTGGGTGTATGGTATGGATGCCAATTTTCTTTTTATGAAAAAAAATATTCTTAACACATTGCACAAGGAATAATAGGATGTGGACTCCAATAAGAATTGAAAATACAGTGAAACCTGTATTAAGCGGACACCCTCTATTAAGCAAACAGTAGCCGAAGTCCCCAAATCTATTTCCCTTATTTACTTTAAATAAAACCTTTATTAAGCGGACACGGATACCTAAAAAGTACCTGAAATGGTCATTTCTATTGTTGCCAACCTGTATTAAACGGATACTTGTAATTAAATTCCACCACCCAACATGCTAGACACTGGAAATGCTAAAGATTGCTTCGAATTGTCACCCACAAATTTTTCGATTTTTACATTAAACAACGTGACTTGACAAACTTATTTGATTAGTTTCCTAGTACAGTATTGTTTTCTATTTCGTTTTGTTTGTATAGAGCTTTTTTCACTCATCTGATTTCTTCAAATTTGAGTTGCAATCTGTGTTTAAGGTACTATGATCAATTGGTCCACTTTGATAAAGAAATTCGTGCAAACGTATATCGTCATAGTCTCTGGGAGTATTCTAAACGTTTCCACCGTTCATTTGAATGGCATTTGACACCTCATATGTCCTTATCTATTGAAACCTGTATTAAGCGGACACCCTGTATTAAGCGGACACTACAGCTTTCCCCGAGGGTGTCCGCTTAATACAGGTTTCACTGTAAACAAACAAAACCAAATTTGAGTAATATTTGCTGCCTTTTTGGCTGAGATCGTGAAAAAAGGTGATTTCTAGGTTTTATGTTACATGTAAGCAAACAAAGTAAAGTAATATCGACCCAAACCATCTATCGTATGCTTTATTTCTAGTTCACTGGCTTATGGGATTATTCCATACATCATCTGCATTTACCAAAACAGCCTGCTGTCATCTACTCTTTTTTATCAACAGATGATTCTTTAGATTACCAGAGCTCTTCAGAAACAAAAGGCAGAATTTTTCCATCCAGTGATAGAGCTTCTCAGCTAACGGAAGGGACAACTGTAGACCCTGAAGGTATCCCTGATGACTTAATAATAATAAGCTTTTTGAATGCCATTGCTGATCAAAAGTGTAAGATTTGTTCATTAAAATTGTTAACATCATTTGAATCTGTCTTGGCTGATGCAAGTGCGGATGAACGATAGCTACAGTCAGGGACACAAGTAGTTGACACACTTGCTTTGTTGCATCTTTGCGTTTTATTATTACCATTTATTGCATTGTTGCAAAATAAACATGCTACACTTGCTGAAAGTGGTGAGAATTTAATAAGTGCCCAGCCTCAAATAAGCGAACACCTCGAAAAAGCGCCCACTCTCAAGGTCCAAAAATTTAATAAGCGCCGAGGTCGGTTAATCGAATAAATACGGTATTAGGGAGCTCAAGCAAAGACTTTTTTGATCAGCACTACCTTTCAAATTGACGTGAGGCCTTTCCCTTTTAACATGCCTTGAAGCTACCAAAAGTGTATTGCTAAGTGTCTTTGCTCTTATTGAGACAGTTTGCTGCAAAATATTTTGGGCATACCAGCTGCCCAAGATGCAATATGTTCACTTCCGTTTGACCCCATTGTGTTGTATGTGAAACACTGCTTAAGCAGAACACAAGATACTAACCAGCCTGCACTGCGCTTTGCAAAACTAATCACAAGCTAACTGAGAACTATGGATTAAGCAAATAATATTATTAAAATCTTGCTAATTCTCTTATCATAAAAAAACTACTTGATGTCAATTTCAGAGGATTTTTTTCAATTAATCACTGCAATATATAGGATGCCAAAAATTATCTATATCCATGACCACTACAGCCCTACAAAACAATGGAAAATGTGATTATAAGTACCTGTTTTGTTTTTTTGTTTTTTTCAGCTTGGAATGTTTTTCCATCTTTACAAAATTTACAATGTGATGCAGAGCAGGTTAGCAAAAAAAACAACCTACCATCTGATCTGAGAACTATTGCTGCCAACAAAGGATTCTTTGTTTCTGATAACCAAGCATCCGGGAACTGTTTGTTCCATGCATTATCAGAACAATTACAAAGTGTCATAGGAATTCAAATCTCACACAAGGAGCTAAGAAAAACCTTGGTTCAGTTCCTCGATGAGAACCCTAATCTGGTAAGTTGATGACTAGCCTAACTAACGGGCCTTCCATGTCTGTTTGGCGGATTCCTCCCATATGATAAGGAACTAAACATATCATGCTGTCCACGGGAGAACTAGTGAGTCGGCTCCAGCTTTATCTATCACTTATACTCTTGTATCACCCAGCTCGTCCTATTCTTAATTAGTTCATATCACTGCTTATTACTTCCCTACACCTGTTCCTTAAATTGTATCACGCCAATAATTGATTCCTTAACTCAGTTCGACATTTCTTTGCTAAAATAAATTGGATAAAAGCCGGCATTGAACATAACGAAGAAAGACTTAAGTATTATGGGATCAAGACTAGGCTTTCTCGATCTTCTTTAAAATTACCTACCTCTTCGTATTTAGCCTGAAATACGTAAGCCTTGACAGCGAAACTTGGAGGGTAATAACAACCAAAACAACCATTTTAGGTCACTTGTCTTGGTGACGTCACACAAATGCATCATGACTTGAAGTAGTCGCTTTCTGTCGCCATCTAAAGTTACAGGTGACCCAGGTGAATTTCTTTTTAAAATCCCAGTTCAACAGTATCATTTCCCTCTGAAAACTACTTCCAGAATTTTGGAGAAAATCCAAATAATTCACTAACAGGGCTGCCTCAAGGCAGGCCCAGTTTACAAAATACCTTCAATTTTCTCCCCAGGGGGTATTTCTAGGAAGTCGTAGTGGAGGTGTGCTGTCCAGCTCTCCAAATCTTGACACTATTTCAGAGCAATAGCTATAAGGTTAATGTAAGGGAGTACTCCCAGGGATTTCCTACGTCGAAAATGAAGACTGTCAATTAACATTATTAACTTAGTGCTGGCAAAGCATGTTAAGTGAAGGCAGCTACATCCTCAGAGACCCAGGGGCAGCCAGTCAGGACAATAGAATGTTTGTGGTGAAAGTTTACTACAGTTGTATAAGATCAAGAAGAGCCCTTGGGCACTTACTCTTACTTACTCTCGAATCAGTTCCAGAAACATTTGAATTGCCTGCCTCTGATTGGCCAGAAATTTTTTTCTGGCCAATCAGTGAAAGAAGAGCAGCCGGTTGACTCTACTGTTTTCTTATGTGATGTAGGTTTCCTCATCTATCACCATTGTTGTGTAGCGTGTTTAACTGGGAAAGTTTCTCGAGAGAAGGTTCAGAAAAAAAAATAATGTTAACATGATTGCAAAGCTCTGTGCAATCATGTTAAGCTTAGCTCAGCTTGTGTGTGTGTACATCAATTGAGTAAAGACGTCTCTCAAGCGATCAATGGCACTTTGTTTTGAGTGCCTTCTTCAAAAGATGGTAGGATGGGTTGCTTTCAAGGTTTCTCTTTGCTTTATGTTGAAGTGTAAACGGTTTAAAATGTGACGGCCAATGTCTCTCTCAAAACTGGCGGTTATAATCATTTAACACCGTTGCTATGCGATATATAAACAAAATGAACTACGAGGTATATATATTCACTTGGACAGTTTGAAAGGCTTCAGACAAAAACAAAACTTGAATTTTAATTTTCTTTGTTAGTTTTAAGAACCAGAATTGAGAAGTGTACTGCTTGTTAACAATTTAGCTGACCCTGTCATGTTTTATGACTTGTAGAATGACAATAATTTTTGGATTTTCTGGTTGAGATCAAATTAGTCATGTTATACTGTCATGCCATATTTTGGGGGGCAGAGGGATGAGGGAGGGGTGCGTGAAAATATTGCTAATTGTTTCCTGCTTAGAATGGCTAGCTTGCTTATTTTTATTGATAATGGTGGAATTTAAAAGTTACTATACAGCCCCGACTTAATAAATGGTACTAATTTTTCTTGTTACGAAAATCTTCCAAAAGGGTGCAATGTTCACTCACATGAGTGAAAAGATCACCTCTTGGCAGCCTCTCGGCATGCAATCCTTGTTTTATTTAAAATTCACGTCCCTGCTAACCCTTGTGCCTCCCAGTAAGTGATTGGTATCAAAGGCTACCCTTGCAACCACTTACTTTTACATAAACTTTAAATAAACTTTCTAGCAGATTAAAATCACCCTGGAACGTCTCTACCTCTTAGACAGAAAAAATTGAAATTCTCTTGTTTGATTGTTTTTGTTTTTTAGCACCAAGAAACATCTCTGCTTAACTTTGTCTCTGGATACGCATCTTGGCATGAATACTTACAAAGTATGGCAAAAGACGGTACTTGGGGCGATCATGTGGTTTTGTTTGCTGCAGCAAATCTCTTTCAAACTCCCATCCGTATTATCAGCAGTCTTGACCATGAGATAGTTGTCCAGCCAGATCATGCACTTGCCAATACCAACCCTCTTGTGTTGGGACACATTCATGAGTTACACTATGTCAGCCTTCAGCCCAGACAAGGTAAAACATTCTTTCCAATCAAAAACATCTTTTTTTTTTGGACTTGTGGGAATTATGTTTGCCGAATTTATATACATATACAGTAGCAGAGGTCTCATTGCAAGATGATGATGATACTGTAAATGTCTCTATGAGAATGAAGTTTAATTTTTTTCTAAACAATAAGTTGTCGCTGCTTAATCTGAATATACTAGTTGGATAAGACAGCATTCCATTGGATATTGTAACCTTGTACTAAAGTGAGCAAGCTCAAAAACCTTCTAGTTTGTGTCCTTATCCTTGATTTCATAGTTAAAAAGGTTTTCACAAGAGAAAGAATTAGATGGTGTTAAGTTCATTGTGTGTAAGGACAAATCTTAGCAGTAGCAAACATAACAATAATAATAATAAGCTTTATTTATCCATCTTTAAAAAATATATACAATGGATTTACGTAATTAAAGTGAAAAAACATATTCTATGAAATACTATTAAGTGAATTTTTAATAAGTTATTTTTTCCCCCACTGATCAGAATCCAAGATATTCAAATCTTCCGAGGATGCAACTAGCAGATCAGAGGGCAGTGATGGTAACACTCACCAGATTACAGCTGATCTGCCATCTAGTTCAAAGAATGCCTCAAGCAACACAAAGAACCAAAGAACCAAATCAAAAAGAAAGAGAAAAAAGAAAAGAAAGAGAGAAAGAAAGGAAAGGACTCCAAAAGAGTGCATTAGGGACCCTCCTGAGCTTAATAAAATTCTCCCACCCTTGGCTGACATTAAGGCTCCAAGCAGACGTTCAAAACATTCTCATCTTCCTGTTGATGTTTTGTTGCTGACAGTGAAGAATTGCGAGTTTTTAGCTTGTTACAGTGAGCTTAAGAACCCGTATAGATGTTATTTTGATGATCTTGGTTATGTGTACTTTTCTAATGTGAGTGAAAGACGAGAGGAAGTTAAAGTTGCATTGTTAAGATGTTACAAAGGTGGTCCTGGTGGTTCTCTCGTCTCTGTAAAGAATGCTGCCACTGTGCTAAGACCTAAAGCAGTTATATTTGTTGGTGCATGTAGTGGTCTTCATCCTGAGAAATGCAAGTTAGGAGATGTTGTTGTTTCTGCCAAATTAGCAACATATGCATCAAAAGTGGTGATCAATAATCAAGAACAGTCAACTGGTATGAGAAATTATGTGAGCAAACGCTTCTTGGATGTCATTAAGAATTGTGCTGATGGCTGGCAAGCACCTTTGAAGAACCTGGCTGATGCTCAACAAGTTCAAGTTCATACTGCTGCTGAGTTTCTGAGTGGACCAGAACTAGTCATTTCAGAACAGCGACGTGATCAACTTGCTGAAACAAATCCTCAGGCAATAGCAATGGAAAACGAAGGAGAAGGTAAGTTGACTGTTTTTGTTTGTCATTACAACAATAGTAATACGTAAGTACACTGTACATACGTAGTTACTAAAACATGGAACGACCTAAAACCACCTAAAACCACCTAAAACCATCTACAACCACCTAAAACCATCTACAACCACCTACAACCACCTCAAAAAATTCAACAACCACCTACAACCATCTACAACCACCTCAAAAACATCTACAACCACTAGCAAACAATCTAAAACCATCTAAAACAGGCTATAAATGTCTGAAATAAGGCGAGACGACAACATGTCACGTACATGAAATACGAGAATCGAACAAAACATCCACTTCCCCCTAAAATCTTACTGTCCCTGGTCCCTTGTATCATCAACCATTGGCTTAAGTCACAAAATGAAATGCGAGATCATGGTAAGTATATTAAAAGACTTAAAGAACCTTACAAAATGAACTATCAAGTCACAAAAAATAAAAAATAAAATAACAAACTCGTAGTCGAAAGACTGACTTAATTTGGCTTTTTCTACCCTGGGTATTAGTGAGACGTTTTGGTTCACGTTTCATTTGTTTACATAATGGCACAAGGTAGGGTTTCTCTCTCTCTCGGAGTCTGCTTCACTGCTGTTTTGTTCTGAGGTTGCGGATTACATTCCTGTGAACAAGTTAATTTTTTTAGCATCTGTTTATCATCCGCCAAACATGTTTGTACATTCCAGGTGGCTCCTTTAGATGAACCCTAGTGTCTTTCACACCCGTTTCCTGTGTCATCACGCAAGGCTAAACTCCCTTGCGTCACGACACGGGAAACGGAGACTAGTAGGTGTAATCATTGTTAAGAATGTTATTAAAAAAATCTATAATGCAATGGATTCAAAACAAAACAAGTTAAGACGAACCGAAATTAATAAAAATGGGTTGAAAAATTTTAATAGTGAATGATTGTATTAAAAGTAATTTACCTGGATTTTTATATACCTTTATTATGTTTTGGAACCCAACTTTCACCCCGGCCCTCTTCTTGGGAGTGATGGGATATGCGCGCTTCTTATTTCTTAGTTTTGTGTTAAGCCAATGGTTGATGATACAAGGGACCAGCTAGCCTGCGTAGCAAGCGTTTCCAATCGAGTTACTGCCTCCCCCTCCCCCGTCCTTTCTTTTTTTTTGCTCTCGTCCCAACTTTCTTGACGAACTCGCGAGGAAACACCTGGCTAGGGACCAGCGAGAGTAAGATTTTAGGGGGAAGTGGATGTTTTGTCCGATTCTCGTATTTCATGTACTTGACATGTTGTCGTCTCGCCTTATTTCAGCCATTTATAGCCTGTTTTAGATGGTTTTAGATTGTTTGTGAGTGGTTGTAGATGTTTTTGAGGTGGTTGTAGATGGTTGTAGGTGGTTGTTGAATTTTTTGAGGTGGTTGTAGATGGTTTTAGGTGGTTTTAGGTGGTTTTAGGTCGTTCCATGTTTTAGTAACTACGACTGTACATAAATGATTATTGCAAGTCTTTCATGACCCTTTGGAATTTTTTGGCAATTTAATCCCTCTCCCCACGGAAATTTGATGATCTATGGGAAAGTTATGGATAATTTTCTGGAAAGACACATTCCATTTATGTGTTATGGTTCAGCTTTTTACTTGGTTTAAATTTTATTTTCCTTTGTTTCAAACTCATTATCATACATCACCATACTCCAAAACAAAGGAAAAGAAAATATAAACCAAGGATAAAATAATTGAACCACAACGTATACAAAGTTAACTGAAGCCTTCCATAAAAGGTAAATCTTTTTTCCTTAATTTTCTTCATGAATCAGCATGATTTGGGTTTAAAGAATGTAATGGTAATAACATTTAGAGCTTTACTTGTGGTGGAAAGAGAGCGTAAAATATTAAATAAATTCAACACCTTGCTGGCCAGCAGCCTTTTGTATGAGGTTGATGCTTGAATTACCCTGCAGGGGACTTTGGGAATTCAAAACTTCTCTGTCAAGGTCATGCCATTATTTTTGTAAAACTTAATGTTGCTTGCTTGTGAAATGTTCTGCTCCGCCTTCCCTTTAGTAAGTACAGTCAAACCTGTATTAAGCGGTCACCATCGGGGAATGGCTAAAACACCGCTTAATACAGGGTGACTGCCTAATACAGGTTGCAAGAAATGCAGTTCAAGGAATTCTATTTCCAGTGCTGATCAGATCAGACGTTTGACCTCAAATAGAAACATTCATTTCAGGTGTTTTAATGATTTGCGAAAATAAACAAGGAAAGTATTGTTGTACCTCGTGTGTTACATTATTTGAAACTATATGGACAATAGAAAACGTCTTTGCAAATATGGTGGCCGCGACCGCTTAATAGAGGTAACCGCTTATTTAATAGAGGTCAAAATTACAGTACATTAAGGGAAATAATTTTCGGGACTTTGAAAACTGACCACTTAATAGAGGGTGACCGCTTAATACAGGTTCGACTGTATATGTTAAGTATGCGACCCTAATGTTCCACTGGTAAGCAGTGAGATGGTGCCTGGGTGGATGCCACTCACAGGGTTGTCAAGGTTATGTGCTGCACTTGGCGGCATCTTGCCGGTCCACAAGCCTTGCAGGCACCTCGCAATCACTCATCTTTGAGTTTTAATATTACACATTACAGACGTTTTAAGCAAAAATGGCTGCTGTTATTTTTCCATACTCTGAAAATTTGTTCAGTTCTTGGTTTATAGTCTGTGTAGTTGTGATTGATAACTGATTTAAATTTAAGCGATTTCTATGGGAAAAAGCCACCCTAGCCCACTGTACCTTACATTTCTTTAAGGTAACTTCTCATAGAATAGGAGTATACATGTACCCTTAAAACTCGATAAACTTTAATCTTAACTTTACTTTAACTTGATGCTTAAGGTAAATAGTTCAATTCTATTGGTACATTTTTAGAGGTGCGCTAAAGCAATAGCAGCTGAATGATGTCTTTGAGCTCCACACAATTTTTTTTGTGCATGTACACAGGACTGTCTTAAAACTAATTTACTGTTTGTTTTGTTTTCCTACAGGAGTATTTGCAGCAGCATTTGATTGTGGAATTGAGTGGTTAATTGTGAAAGGAATAGCTGATTATGCTGATGGCTCTCAGTTGGCTTCTGAGAGTTGGTCTTCCTGTGCAAGTGTGATGGCAGCATCTCTTGTTGCACACATTTTGAATGAACCCTGTGCTTTTTATTCATGGCCTCATTATCAAGGTAATCATTCTCATAGAGGGCATATGATTTATTGAATCCATTGGTGGGTTACTTAGTACAGTCACAGATAAGCTACATGGTATAAATTATATGCACTGTGGGTACATACATGTATTATCCCAAATTCAGGTGTCCAATACACCCCTAGCCTGTGTACAGACCCACCCCTCCCCTCAGTTTCTCTGTCTTTTACTGAGGGGAGTGGGGTCTGTACACAGACTAATACACACCACTTGTTCAAATTGTGTAAGTTTAGATTCAAGTTGCGCAAGTCATATGAGTGATAGGAATTGTCAAACAATGTCTTCCATTTGTGTGATTGGTTCAAATAGTGAATGTGTTACCTTAGTGTTGGACAAGCTCGGATTTTGTTTAAGGTGTAGAGTAAACGAATATTTCAACAAACCACACGGTAAGCCCCACAACCCATGTTTCTTGTAAGCTTTGTCGGTAATCCGTATATCTTGATTTATCTCTTGCTTTGTCATCATTTTTTTTAACATTCTGTTTAAAATTTTTATCTTGAAATCATATTTTATTTTTTCTGTGATAGTTTAAAAATGTTGTTAGCAGAAAGTTTAATGAAGGATTCCTTCTCTTCTCTGGCATGATAAAAACGCTAACCCCGATTTGAACGATTTTGATGTCATCATGATATATCAATCAGTCATTTTGTCTGTTTTTCTTTGTTAAATGGTAAAATTACTTGACTAAGATTTGAGATTGTTAGGCCCGGTTCAGACGCGGAACTTTTCATGAGCCGAACCTAATTCGAATTAAGGTCGACCCCAATTATTTAGACCGGCTGAATTGATTCAGACGCCGTTCTTAATTGCAGCTGAACTAAGTTCAAAAGGTGAAAAATGCTCATTTCGGTCAAACTGTTTGCGTTTAATTAATCAATTCCTGGAAGAAAAAAATACACAAGAACAGCCAAAGCCGGGGGCTTAAATGGCCTGAGGTCAGCAAAAAAAAAAGACGTGAAGAATTTACAGGAATAGAAGAAGGCTTTAACTAAAATAATTACAATACAATTAGATCAAGAAAGAAAAGGTCAGTTAGAAAAACGTACAACTAAAATACAATACTTGGCAACTAATTTCAAATATGTAGACAACTAATAATTCCTATAAACCTATTATTATTCCTAATAATTCCTATAAACCACACAAACAACTAATAATTCCTATAAACCAGACAAACAACTACAAACAAATACACCTAGTATAGTCCCATAAGGTGTACAGATTATGCGTAGGCTAATTAACTACTCAGAAAAATACACTTATAAAATACGTTATAATGATTTATGCATTAGGTTCGGTACATGAAAAGTTCGGCGTCTGAATCAAAGCGGTTCCAAAGTCGCTCCAAAGGCGAAATTCTCGGCCGGGCTAGGCGAAAAGAACGGCTGAGCCGTTCCAAATTGAAACAGGCGTTCCTAATTGATTCAGACGCCGAACTTTTCATTTACTTAATTCAATGTATTAGGTTCGGCTCATGAAAAGTTCGGCGTCTGAACCGGGCCTTAGTGGTTCATATAATGACTTACTATTCTGAAATATACTTTTCCATACTATTCCTATTGATAGTGATATTTTGATATTTTAGTTAACCACTTTTTCAAGTAAATAGTGATAATTGATTGTTTCTCCGGCAGGGCTGCAGCAACATGAGTATAAGGACGGTCCAACCGAAAGGCGACCATCAACATCTTCATGCAGCAACGCTTCACATGATTCGTCATTCAACCGCACTCAAACTAACGAACGAAAATTAGCTCCTTCCATCATCGAAGATATGAAGAAACATGTACGAGAAGTCACTGAACAGCCTTACGGAGATCTTAAATCACCTTTTCATAATCCAGGTGAAGGACCCAGAAGAGATCTGAAGCTTGACGAAATCTTCACCAATCTAATTATTTATGAGGGGAGAGTTAAGTATAACTTTTCTGGAGACAGAATGAAACAACTACAAGAGTACCACAAAGCCAATGAAAATTTGCGACCAACGCGTCCAGGAGATATTTTTGGTGCTAAAAAACGGAAGATTCTTGTTGTTGGTCGTCCTGGAATTGGAAAAACCATGTTCAGCACAAAGATTCTTCGCGACTGGGCGTCCGACACCTTGTTTAACAAAACTCAAAAATCGCAAATAGATTTTAAAGTTGCCTTCCTCATTAAGCTGAGGATGTTTAACTCTAGAAGCAAAGAACTAAATCTTCGCGAGCTTCTGGATCACTCAGAATATTCAACAGCTCTTTCCGAAGAGATCTGGAACTACATTCGTCACAACCCAAAGCGAGTACTGGTGATTTTTGATGGATTTGACGAGTATTCTTATAGGACTGAAATCAGTAAAGATGACGTTCCGTACAGAAACAATGAAGAAGACAAGATGCCTGTCCATTTCCTGCTGAAGAAAATAGTAACGGGAAAAATTCTTACCGGCGCGACAGTCTTAATGACTACAAGACCCAATGCTGTGTCATGTGTCAGAAGTGTTAACTTTAACAGAGCAGTTGAAATTCTGGGATTTACAACTGAGCAAGTGAATGACTATGTAGCGAAGTTAACAAAGCTGGAAGACAAAGCAGAAACCATAAGGCAACACATCACTAGTAACTTAAACCTTCTAGCCTTCTGCTACATTCCTGTAAATTGTTTTATCATTTGTTCATGCTTGTTAGAGTTGCTTGTCAACACTAGCTTAACCAGCCTCCACTACCTCCCAACAAGACTGACAGAAATATACTCCATTGCAATAAAGATGTTTTACTTTAGTTACGATGATGGTCAGTATCGCCACAATAAAACTGAAGGACAACAGTTCTTTCTAAAACCATTTAAGGAACTGCCCTCCTCTGTGCAAAAGGAGTTCACAAGTCTGGGAAAAATTGCTTTTAATGGCATTCAAGAGGGAAGATTAATTTTTGAATCGCATGAGGTTAACAGCCTGGAGAGTAATGGCCTGTTTCACCGTTTACCTGATACTAAAGACCATCCTTTAGCAGAGGGAAGAGCGCAATATTGCTTTTTACACCTGACCTTACAGGAGTTCTTGGCGGCGAAGTATTTGGTGGACACGTTGTGTTCCGAACAACTGCGGGATTTTGTTGCCGCTCACATCGAGGATGGCGCGTGGAAGGTTGTGATGCAGTTTGTGGCTGGACTGCTGGCTGAAAAAGAAGGACAATCGACTGATATTTTCAGCGACCTTCTTCCCTCAGAAACTGTTACTAAAGAAGTTGAAATCAAGATGAATGAAGATTCAGAGGAACGAACTGAAACACTGACCTGTTGGCCAGCCGAGAAAGACAGGGCTTTAGTGGTGACGCTATTCAATTGCATGTATGAGAACAATGCCTCTGATCAAGAAGTTCAAAAGAAACTGGCGAAAATTGGTTGTAATGCGCTTAATTTTTATTATTGTAACCTGTCACCTCTCGACTGTTTAGCATTAGTGCATGCACTTAAATCTGTTGAAGGAATTTTGGATTTTGATTTAAGCTTCAACAACCTTCAGTCGCTAGGATGTATTGAGATTGCGAAGTTGTTACCTGGCAACCAACACGATCAGGGTTTTTGCGAACTAAAAAGATTGAACCTCGCGCGTAACGACATAACTGAGGAAGCAGTTAAACATTTATGTACAGCACTCACACACACTAACTGCAAACTAAAAAGCTTAGTCCTCAGTCACAACAACATAACTGTTGAAGCAGTTAAAAATTTATGTACAGCACTCACACACACTAACTGTAAACTAAAAAGCTTAGTCCTCAGTCACAACAACATAACTGATGAAGCAGTTAAACATTTATCTACAGCACTCACACACACTAACTGCAAACTAAACAGCTTAGACTTCAGTAATAACAACATAACTGATGAAGGAGTGAAACATTTATCTACAGCACTCACACACACTAACTGCAAACTAAACAGCTTAAACCTGTGGAATAACAACATAACTGATGAAGCAGTTAAACATTTATCTTCAGCACTCACACACACTAACTGCAAACTAAACAGCTTAAACCTCACTCAAAACAAGATAACTGATGAAGCAGTTAAACATTTATCTACAGCACTCACTCACACTAACTGCAAACTAAACAGCTTAGACCTCTATAATAACTACATAACTGATGAAGCAGTAAAACATTTATCTACAGCACTCACACACACTAACTGCAAACTAAACAGCTTAAACCTCGGGAGTAACAACATATGAACCCTGTGCTTTTTATTCATGGCCTCATTATCAAGGTAATCATTCTCATAGAGGGCATATGATTTATTGAATCCATTGGTGGGTTACTTAGTACAGTCACAGATAAGCTACATGGTATAAATTATATGCACTGTGGGTACATACATGTATTATCCCAAATTCAGGTGTCCAATACACCCCTAGCCTGTGTACAGACCCACCCCTCCCCTCAGTTTCTCTGTCTTTTACTGAGGGGAGTGGGGTCTGTACACAGACTAATACACACCACTTGTTCAAATTGTGTAAGTTTAGATTCAAGTTGCGCAAGTCATATGAGTGATAGGAATTGTCAAACAATGTCTTCCATTTGTGTGATTGGTTCAAATAGTGAATGTGTTACCTTAGTGTTGGACAAGCTCGGATTTTGTTTAAGGTGTAGAGTAAACGAATATTTCAACAAACCACACGGTAAGCCCCACAACCCATGTTTCTTGTAAGCTTTGTCGGTAATCCGTATATCTTGATTTATCTCTTGCTTTGTCATCATTTTTTTTAACATTCTGTTTAAAATTTTTATCTTGAAATCATATTTTATTTTTTCTGTGATAGTTTAAAAATGTTGTTAGCAGAAAGTTTAATGAAGGATTCCTTCTCTTCTCTGGCATGATAAAAACGCTAACCCCGATTTGAACGATTTTGATGTCATCATGATATATCAATCAGTCATTTTGTCTGTTTTTCTTTGTTAAATGGTAAAATTACTTGACTAAGATTTGAGATTGTTAGGCCCGGTTCAGACGCGGAACTTTTCATGAGCCGAACCTAATTCGAATTAAGGTCGACCCCAATTATTTAGACCGGCTGAATTGATTCAGACGCCGTTCTTAATTGCAGCTGAACTAAGTTCAAAAGGTGAAAAATGCTCATTTCGGTCAAACTGTTTGCGTTTAATTAATCAATTCCTGGAAGAAAAAAATACACAAGAACAGCCAAAGCCGGGGGCTTAAATGGCCTGAGGTCAGCAAAAAAAAAAGACGTGAAGAATTTACAGGAATAGAAGAAGGCTTTAACTAAAATAATTACAATACAATTAGATCAAGAAAGAAAAGGTCAGTTAGAAAAACGTACAACTAAAATACAATACTTGGCAACTAATTTCAAATATGTAGACAACTAATAATTCCTATAAACCTATTATTATTCCTAATAATTCCTATAAACCACACAAACAACTAATAATTCCTATAAACCAGACAAACAACTACAAACAAATACACCTAGTATAGTCCCATAAGGTGTACAGATTATGCGTAGGCTAATTAACTACTCAGAAAAATACACTTATAAAATACGTTATAATGATTTATGCATTAGGTTCGGTACATGAAAAGTTCGGCGTCTGAATCAAAGCGGTTCCAAAGTCGCTCCAAAGGCGAAATTCTCGGCCGGGCTAGGCGAAAAGAACGGCTGAGCCGTTCCAAATTGAAACAGGCGTTCCTAATTGATTCAGACGCCGAACTTTTCATTTACTTAATTCAATGTATTAGGTTCGGCTCATGAAAAGTTCGGCGTCTGAACCGGGCCTTAGTGGTTCATATAATGACTTACTATTCTGAAATATACTTTTCCATACTATTCCTATTGATAGTGATATTTTGATATTTTAGTTAACCACTTTTTCAAGTAAATAGTGATAATTGATTGTTTCTCCGGCAGGGCTGCAGCAACATGAGTATAAGGACGATCCAACCGAAAGGCGACCATCAACATCTTCATGCAGCAACGCTTCACATGATTCGTCATTCAACCGCACTCAAACTAACGAACGAAAATTAGCTCCTTCCATCATCGAAGATATGAAGAAACATGTACGAGAAGTCACTGAACAGCCTTACGGAGATCTTAAATCACCTTTTCATAATCCAGGTGAAGGACCCAGAAGAGATCTGAAGCATGACGAAATCTTCACCAATTTAATTATTTATGAGGGGAGAGTTAAGTATAACTTTTCTGGAGACAGAATGAAACAACTACAAGAGTACCACAAAGCCAATGAAAATTTGCGACCAACGCGTCCAGGAGATATTTTTGGTGCTAAAAAACGGAAGATTCTTGTCGTTGGTCGTCCTGGAATTGGAAAAACCATGTTCAGCACAAAGATTCTTCGCGACTGGGCGTCCGACACCTTGTTTAACAAAACTCAAAAATCGCAAATAGATTTTAAAGTTGCCTTCCTCATTAAGCTGAGGATGTTTAACTCTAGAAGCAAAGAACTAAATCTTCGCGAGCTTCTGGATCACTCAGAATATTCAACAGCTCTTTCCGAAGAGATCTGGAACTACATTCGTCACAACCCAAAGCGAGTACTGGTGATTTTTGATGGATTTGACGAGTATTCTTATAGGACTGAAATCAGTAAAGATGACGTTCCGTACAGAAACAATGAAGAAGACAAGATGCCTGTCCATTTCCTGCTGAAGAAAATAGTAACGGGAAAAATTCTTACCGGCGCGACAGTCTTAATGACTACAAGACCCAATGCTGTGTCATGTGTCAGAAGTGTTAACTTTAACAGAGCAGTTGAAATTCTGGGATTTACAACTGAGCAAGTGAATGACTATGTAGCGAAGTTAACAAAGCTGGAAGACAAAGCAGAAACCATAAGGCAACACATCACTAGTAACTTAAACCTTCTAGCCTTCTGCTACATTCCTGTAAATTGTTTTATCATTTGTTCATGCTTGTTAGAGTTGCTTGTCAACACTAGCTTAACCAGCCTCCACTACCTCCCAACAAGACTGACAGAAATATACTCCATTGCAATAAAGATGTTTTACTTTAGTTACGATGATGGTCAGTATCGCCACAATAAAACTGAAGGACAACAGTTCTTTCTAAAACCATTTAAGGAACTGCCCTCCTCTGTGCAAAAGGAGTTCACAAGTCTGGGAAAAATTGCTTTTAATGGCATTCAAGAGGGAAGATTAATTTTTGAATCGCATGAGGTTAACAGCCTAGAGAGTAATGGCCTGTTTCACCGTTTACCTGATACTAAAGACCATCCTTTAGCAGAGGGAAGAGCGCAATATTGCTTTTTACACCTGACCTTACAGGAGTTCTTGGCGGCGAAGTATTTGGTGGACACGTTGTGTTCCGAACAACTGCGGGATTTTGTTGCCGCTCACATCGAGGATGGCGCGTGGAAGGTTGTGATGCAGTTTGTGGCTGGACTGCTGGCTGAAAAAGAAGGACAATCGACTGATATTTTCAGCGACCTTCTTCCCTCAGAAACTGTTACTAAAGAAGTTGAAATCAAGATGAATGAAGATTCAGAGGAACGAACTGAAACACTGACCTGTTGGCCAGCCGAGAAAGACAGGGCTTTAGTGGTGACGCTATTCAATTGCATGTATGAGAACAATGCCTCTGATCAAGAAGTTCAAAAGAAACTGGCGAAAATTGGTTGTAATGCGCTTAATTTTTATTATTGTAACCTGTCACCTCTCGACTGTTTAGCATTAGTGCATGCACTTAAATCTGTTGAAGGAATTTTGGATTTTGATTTAAGCTTCAACAACCTTCAGTCGCTAGGATGTATTGAGATTGCGAAGTTGTTACCTGGCAACCAACACGATCAGGGTTTTTGCGAACTAAAAAGATTGAACCTCGCGCGTAACGACATAACTGAGGAAGCAGTTAAACATTTATGTACAGCACTCACACACACTAACTGCAAACTAAAAAGCTTAGTCCTCAGTCACAACAACATAACTGTTGAAGCAGTTAAAAATTTATGTACAGCACTCACACACACTAACTGTAAACTAAAAAGCTTAGTCCTCAGTCACAACAACATAACTGATGAAGCAGTTAAACATTTATCTACAGCACTCACTCACACTAACTGCAAACTAAACAGCTTAGACCTCTATAATAACAACATAACTGATGAAGCAGTAAAACATTTATCTACAGCACTCACACACACTAACTGCAAACTAAACAGCTTAAACCTCGGGAGTAACAACATAACTGTTGAAGCAGTTAAACATTTATCTACAGCACTCACACGCACTAACTGCAAACTAAACAGCTTAGACCTCGCGAGTAACAACGTAACTGATGTAGGTGTTAAACATTTATCTACAGCACTCACACACACTAACTGCAAACTAAACAGCTTAAACCTCATGAGGGACAACATAACTGATGAAGCAGTTAAACATTTATCTACAGCACTCACACACACTAACTGCACACTAAACCGCTTAGACCTCAGGGGTAACAGGACAACTGATGAAGCAGTTAAACATTTATGTACAGCACTCACACACACTAACTGCAAACTAACCAGCTTAGACCTCATTTGTAACAACTTAACTGATGAAGCAGTTAAACATTTATCTACAGCACTCACACACACTCACTGCAAACTAAACAGCTTAAACCTCTTTAATAACTACATAACTGATGAAGGAGTAAAACATTTATCTACAGCACTCACACACACTAACTGCAAACTAAACAGCTTAAACCTCCGGTTTAACAAGACAACTGATAAGGGTAAAAATCTCCTAAACTCATTGAACATAAACTGTAAAGTAATTTTCTAGTAAATCCTTGTATGCAATCTAAATGTTTCTCTGTTGAAGGAATTTTGGATTTTGATTTAATCTTCAACAACCTTCAGTTGCCTCTTTAGTAATAAAATAACCCAGGAAGCTAAAAGTATCTTAAAACCAATGACAATATTCTGTTAAGTACGCTTATCTAATCTATTTAAACATGTGTTGGTTTTTCCCTGAATAGCGCTGAGTTTAGTCTGGATTCAGTGGCGTTTTTGGAGCCTTAAAAAGAAGTTTTTTTTTCTTCTTTTTCTGCAAAGCTTCACAGTGATCAGGTAACTTCAAAGCAATCTCGCAGCCCTTCGATTTTCTGTTGTATTACTTTCATTTTACTTTCAGTTATAGGTGAAGCGATATTGTTTTGGATACTACAATGTCTTTATAGTGTACTTGAACAGGGTGTGATTTCAAAAGTTAAAAGGTTCATATAGAAAACGCTTAACTAAAAATCTCCATCAATGCGATTGTAGAGACTGGGTTAAATTGGTAGACACTGTATTTATTCATTTGAGATAGTTGTACATACAGTATAGCTACATGTGATGTATTATAGGTTTTTAAACATAATACAATTTGGGATTGACTAACATTCCGCGAAATAAAACTAACACTACGCGAAAACTGGTTTTAAAGACACGGTGGCTTTATATAGTATTGGGTAAACATAGCAACGTCATATTAACAATGTGTATTTAAACAAACTAAAACTGTTCATATGTAAATGACGCTTTACTATGATCAATTTAGATAGCCATGTATACAGTACCCTGCGAGCGGTGGTTAAACCACTGCTTGTAAGGTACGCATACACTGCTACATATGATATATACATTAAGACATTTTTCTGTTGAAGGGTTATTAGCTTAATGTGATTGATGCTTTCACTGATTTACAGTAAGCGTCATTTAAGAAATTTTTGTACATATAGTGTATGATACATTTTCAGGTTTCCTGTTTATTATTGTACGTAGCCTTGGTTTTTTAAAATGATGTTATTAAAGTTCCGTTAGACCAGTAACATGTCGGCCTGGCCTCGTTCCTTAGTAAATCAAACTTTCCATCTTTAAGCGAAATGCTTATGGGACAGAAGAGGCAAATGTGGATCTAGACCGACAGGGGGTGGGAGGGGTTAGAGGCCCATGCACCCACTTTTTATCGTACGGATACTTCTCTTTCGGCTAAGATATAAACTGCGTGTCTAAAGCGGATGGATCCAGGGGCCTGTTGCTTCCTGCCCAAAATGAAGTATCTCGGGGCCTAGGTTAAAATAAAAATTCACTTTATTTGAGTGTCAATGTATTTTAGCACGAAAGTACTAATTGGGGACACTATTTTTACGTCTCCTACTGGAGACTAGACCGCTATTTTACGTGGTCAACCGAGCCACACGAAGGTCTAGCCATTTGCAGGGCAAAGGAAGTACCTTCATTTCTCAGTTATTTTAAGACCCTGAGTATTACCCTGGGTACCAGAGGTTTTTCTCGCGTGCGGCAGAAATTTTCGGTGTTGGCCGAAGGCCGACACATCTTCGGCCGAAGGCCGACACATCTTCGGCCGTAGGCCGAAGCCGCGAGAAAAACTTTTCGCGCGGGTCACTATAAAGACTTGACAGAAACCGGAAACCGCGCTAGAAAAGTCTCTGGCACCCAGGGTACCTGAGTATTGATCCGGTCCCGGGAATCGAACCTGCGACCTCCCCCTCTGCAATCAAGCGCTCTACCGACTGAGATAATCCTGCCGCGGTAACAATAATAAGAGAGGACCACACAACCCATCCTCTCCTTACTCCTTCCTTTCATCCCCAATTGTTTGTAACAAATGTTGAGGTGAAAACCCCTTTTTTTTTTACTTAGTGACAAGATCTCCTATCCTGAGTTGTTTGAAAGCAACTATCTTACCGACAGTCAGAATCAGTCAGAAAGCTGATCTCGCCAACTATAAACTGACCATCACCACTTTTGTATTTGGCGCCAGCTAACATAGGAAGTAACAGTTAAGTTAGTAAAGTGGACCTCAATCGAAATCCAAGATCCTTCTATCATTCACACACAGGGTGATTAAACCCGCCTGCTGTAATTGGCATCAGCTGTTGTGGTGTCCCCGTCAGCTCCCTTCTTTTGTTCTTCCTATTTTTCAAATTTTTTTTTTATGATGTTTTTGATTTTCTCTCCCGCCATATTTTAATTTAGCTACCTTGAATAACAAAATAAACCGAATATGATGAGTATGGAAAATAAACCAAAAACAAACTGTATTTAACCCTTTAAGCCCTAATATCCACATACAAATTCTCCAAACCTGTGTCTACACATTTCTATGTAGAATAAGTTGAGAGAATTTGATGAAAGATCAAAGCATTTCCCTCAGGTGATTATTTTATTAATTCTCACAACCTATTCTCTTGATTGTGTCTTGATATTGTTAAAGGAGAGAATTGAGGTTTGTCACTTTGGGGACTTAGGGGGTTAATGGGGTTGACACTTGATAGTTCCAAGAACTGGTGAACCTGTGGCCCTCTTAGATGTCCTTAACTAATTGGAAACTCCTTCTACATAGAACTGGAATTTCAACATGTTGGTTATTGAGAAGAAGGAGAAACCGAAGCAAGGGCGCATCCAGCGTGGTTTTGTTAAAGGTGGGGGGGAGGGGGGGGATGATACCAGTCCACTTCCGAACGAAACCTTCAGTTGAAATTGTTTTTTCTTGTCCAAACGAGACGTGGCGTTAAAATTGTCCACTGGGACTGCCCCATCACGTTGCCCGTGCCCAGGCTTGTGCAATTTGGTTGGGTCTTTGAAAAATTTACTAGTGCTGATTTATCCCAAATTGCACGAAAAAAATCATGTGATTACCTATAATAACAGCACTGTACTGGGGATAATCCGTAAAAAAGAGGCAGGGGGGGTGACGAAGACTGTTTTTTATTTGTTACAACAGCATGTACCAGGAGCCGTGAAAGTTACCCAAACGTGGCGACCCCAAATGATGTTTTTGTAATCGTTATTCATCATTGGAGAACTCGGTGTGAAAATCACATTACTATCATCAGTTCACGTCTTGCGAAATCTACCTTTACTGATCTGTAAGTAAAAGGGGTGGTATGTAGTGTTTTCACTGAAGGCTAACCTAGTGTCCCAGGGCTTTTCCATAAGAACTGTAGGCATATGAAAAGGGTATCAGTTAATTCTATAGCAGCTATATGACCAGGTATGTTTTTGGTATGGTCATCAAGGGATATTAAGGGTTTGGCCGTTTGGTCTTTGTTCTTTTACAGACTTTGATGACGAAGTCTCCCCACCCCTCCCCCGGGTATCTAAAGCCTTGCAAGAACAGGCTTGGTTTAGGGAAGCAAAGGCAAACACAGGTAAAGTGCTTTTGACGCTAAATATCATCTATTCACTGTTTTACCTCTTCAATGTAATTTTAAATTGTTAACAAAAGCATCTTGTTGTTGTTGCTTCGCAATTCATGGCTTGGAATCATCTTGGTGTCACGTTAATAGAAATGATGAATCTGTCAGACTCTGTCAGTGATATCACAGACGATCAGAGACCACTTCAAATTTATAGGCACCATACACTAATGGATTCATTTCCTATACTTCAGTTAATTATTTCTTTTATTTATGACATTCATAGAGATTGCATGAAACGAAAACTAAAGCCTATTCAAGTAACCTAGAATTCCAGATCCAATTCCAAATTTTTCGGCTTACTTGACGTGTAAGTCATGAGACACTTTTGAACCAATAAATGCGAAGATTCGACCAGACGCATCGACAGGCGAAGCACTCCCAGACACGAACATTTAATCGACGCCGGTGTGGATTTTGCTGTTGTCTTGGTACCTTGCAGTGGTAAACTTTCGACTTTTTGTATGTTGGGACAAACCTGAAAATATCGGCTGAGTTGATTTATTTTGCGAGCGTCCCATCATACAACTTTATCAAGCTCCATCTCGTGGCCTCTTGCTGTTGTTCTTTAACTCTGTAAAGTAGATTTTCCGCATTGCATTGCAATGCTTGTCAAGGTAAGAACCGAAGTTACTTTTCCTTTCTAATTCTTTTCTTTGTTTTAAGATAAATCTTAGTATACTGTGTCTTTTATTGTATGCAAGTTGAAGTGTTATGTCAGGTCCCCTTAGTGCTAAGGCTAAACTTTAGAGTATTTCCGCACTTATTTGCATCACTTCTTTGAAAAACAAAAGTGCTTATTATGTTATGCCTCGTTCATAAAGCGTTCCAACATGTGGTAGTTTGTAAAACAACGATCTTTTAATGGTCAAAAGAGGGAAATCATGTGACTCCTTGATTGGATAATCAGTTACACCTTTGTTCCACTCTGGTATTGGTTAGCCGTACAAGAGTTGGCAAACATCGCTTTAAAGCTTAAAGGGAGAGGGAGAATAGACATATTTTCACGGTTTTTAACATGGATCAGTTAGGGAAAATCCGTCAACACCCCTGAAAAGAACGACTTGAATTAGTGAAATTTGCCAAATTTAAAAGTAATACGTTTTAAGGAAGCGAAGATATAGGTTTTCAGACGTTTGTACAGTGGAGCCCCACTCTGTGGACACCTGTGTAATAACGGACAGTTACGTTTGTCCCAATGAAATGGTCAAATATTTTCTGTAAAACAAGCCCACTTTATACGGACACCAGTTAATACAGACAAAGATCACTGTTCTATATCCCGCATCACATGCTCTCAAGTATCAATATACGGTCAACCTATATGCACTCACTACTAACAGGATTGTCTATGTAATAGTTATGAAGGGAATATGAAGTTGCACAAAGCTATGAAACAGGTTATGAAGTTTTGAAATTAAAAAATTCATAGCCTTATGAACAAATAAAAATCTGTGAAATGCTCCATGTGAGGTGAAGTGCTATGAAGTTCCCTGAGACACTTGAAGTGCCTATGAAGTTGACACAAGCTTGAAAAGTCTATGAAGTATTTAAACTGAAAACTTCGATTCATAGA